TAGTATTTTGCACATATCCTTTCTGCTGCACTGCTTAAGTTTTTTGTGTAATCTCTGATCTTCCAGCTGAGAGACATGCAGGTTGCTCCTGTATCACTGCATCGGTGGATGACATTCATTTTGAACACACCATAGGGTAAGGTATTAATCTTAGTACTGACTGCCAAGGTTTAATTCAAACTGAGTAATGACTGCACAGACAACACGTTGCATGCAGTGCCAGCAGAGGAGAGAAAAAAGGGTCATTTTGGGATAAAGTGTCAACTTGAACTCAACTTTTAGTAAAGTTTGAAGGACAAATGCTACTAAACAAGAAAGACAGTTTCATGGTTACAAATCATTAGTTATGATATTCTCCATAAATCTTAATTGAATTTTTTTTAATCGTTAAAAAAATAAGAGGTGACTCATGAAAATATAGTAAACATTTCTTTCCAATTGCAGATAGCGAGTGTCATGGCCAAACATGCCTTGCTGTTGACTTAAAATTATGTCTCATAGCATAAAGGTTTCAGAGTATGTGCAGTACAAATACTTCTCCTTGTTGATAGTAAAGAATGGCGTCTGTGTCTGTCTCCTCCAGGGTAGGAAAGGTTGTTAATATCATCGCAAAGGTCAACAGAGCCTTTACGTCCAGTATGGAGGTTAGCGGGTGGCATTCTGTGCTTTTGGGATATTTAAACTTTTTATTATTTTAGGGAAGGAATATAATGACGTTAGTGATTTGTTTCATCTCAGGTGGGCATTTTAGTGACTTGCGAGGACCTTTACACTGACAGGCAGTGGAAGGTTTGCCACGCCTTTGCAACCTTTGTTGCCAGAAGGACAGAAGCTGGGAAGGTAAAGAGCGCAGATCAAAATATGGGCAGAGGGGCATTTTAATAAATCTGATTTAGCATCTCTGGCTTTTTTTTTTTTAATTAGTTTTTTGTTATGTCCTCACAGGTACAGCTGAAGCAGGTGATTGCTCACACACAAATGGAGCAGATGGAGTACAGCCTGGCAGCAGAGCGGAGGAGGATGAGGCTCATCCACGCTGAGATTATCACAGACCTACTGAGCAGCAGCACAGCTCAGCTGGGTACAGACATAAGTCTTTACAGCACACGGCACTTAGAAAACAGATTCCTTAAACGTCCTTGTTTTTGTGCACTCATCAGGAGAATGCCAGGAGTATCAGGACGCTGTG